TCTTGTGTACGTTGTTTTTTCAGGCGGGTGCCATGTTTGATAAGGATCCCTCTGACGACGCATTTATGCGCCTCCCAGATTGTGGGTTGCGTGGAGTCAGGTGTCTTGTTGGTGAGGAAGAAGTGCTCTAGAGTGGATCGTACGTCTGTTTGGATTAGTGGGTCTTCCAGGAGCGATTCATTTAATTTCCACGTCCATTGCGGTTTTAAGGGCCTGGGGTTTTCTATGGTGATGATTACTGGTGCGTGGTCTGACCAGGTCATAGGCGCTATCTGGGCGGCTATCAGCGTGTCTAGGTCTATATGTTGGGTGAAAAAGTAATCTATCCTTGAGTAGGATCTATGTGGTGCCGAGTAGTAGGTAAAATCTCTGTCTGTATGGTGTAGGATGCGCCAAGTGTCTGCGAATTGGTGATTTGAGAGGAGAGTCTTCATTCCTCTGAGGATGTTATCTGGTATCGTAGATGCGCCTTTGGATGTTTCCATTTTGGGGTCTAGGGGGCATTGAAGTCTCCTCCAATTATGATTGTGCCTTCACCGAATGTTTCTAGGGTTCTGAGGGCAGAGGCCAGAAACGGTCTCTGGCCTTTGTTTGGGAGGTACAGGTTCGCAAATGTGAGTGTGGAGTTGCCTAGGTGCCCCTTGATGAAGAGATATCTGCCTTCCGTGATGCTAATATATATTGAATCAAAACGTGCTCAGTATTGAATATGTAGGAGACTGTTTCAGTTAATCTGTTTTGATTTGAACTTTCCAGGTCCCTTGTCAATTATCCACAAGTCCCAAATTACAGAATAAACTAATTGAGTCCCTGCACAAAACTGTGTTACTCACTTGTGTTTTCAGCAATTCCTATTTGGATAGAAGTCATATGCAGACGGTCACGGTTATTCACTATGTTGAGAATTCAAAGCAAATTTCAAATTTAAGGTCAAAATAGCACAATGGGAAAATTATCTTAGTCATCTATACTTTTAAGTCGGCTACTATGACCTTAAATTTGAAATTTACTTAGAATTTTATTTTTATTTTTATTCTTTATTTTTGCTGTGCAGGTGGGTACAAGGAATCAACAGACGCCACAACAGCCTATTGCAAAATATACAATGGTTAAACAGTGGCATGAGAGTCTGCACATTTTTATATTTTTAGCAAGCTTGGCTAAACAGTTGTATCGTTAGCGTGAAGTTAAATAAAATACAGCAAGATAATTGATGCTTAACTTGTCTAATTTGGCATTTGTGCTAGGCATATGTGTGAGAAACAAAACAGTGATCTTATTTTTGCAGTTAAAACAGGAGCTATGGTCATCACCAAGAACAGATTTCTATAGGCTTAAAGGAACACTATAGTCACCTAAATTACTTTAGCTAAATAAAGCAGTTTTATTGTATAGATCATTCCCCTGCAATTTCACTGCTCAATTCACTGTCATTTAGGAGTTAAATCACTTTGTTTCTGTTTATGCAGCCCTAGCCACACCTCCCTTGGCTATGATTGACAGAGCCTGCATGAAAAAAAAAAACTGGTTTCACTTTCAAACAGATGTAATCTACCTTAAATAATTGTATCTCAATCTCTAAATTGAACTTTAATCACATACAGGGGGCTAGGGTCTAGCAAGATATTAACACTGCAGGGGATAAGAAAATCTTAATTAAACAGAACTTGCAATAAAGAAAGCCTAAATAGGGCTCTCTTTACAGGAAGTGTTTATGGAAGGCTGTGCAAGTCACATGGAGGGAAGTGTGACTAGGGTTCATAAACAAAGGGATTTAACTCCTAAATACCGAGGATTGAGCAGTGAGGCTGCAGGGGCATGTTCTATACACCAAAACTGCTTCATTAAGCTAAAGTTGTTCAGGTGACTATAGTGTCCCTTTAATTAAGTTTAATCACCAGGGGGCAGCAGAAGTTGGATATACATGCAAGCTCAGACATTTTAATTACTTTCTAACTGCAGGAAGAGAGTCTGCTAGATACCCTGAACGAGATATCCACGGGGGGGGGGGGTTAATGGGGCCCTTAGCAGGTGCCGGGAGGTCCTGCTGGACCAAGCATTTTTAAGCTGGTCATTGCGGGTTTATCAGGGAGCCGAGGTGCCCCACATCTACCCAGCTCGGCGTCCAGGCCCTGCCCCCCTACTTTGAATTTTTAATTTAGTAAATATCTCTGTGTATGGTAACACTCCAAGTGTTAACCCCTTAAGACCAGAGGGCGTACTATTACGCCCTATTTTAAGTGGCTCTAAACGCCGCCGGGCGTAATAGTACGCCCTCCGGTGTTTCTGTACTTACCCGGTCGCCGGCAATGCCACGACGGCGATCGCGGTTGGGGGGACTCCCAGTGAGCCCCCGCGGCACGTCCGGCCCCCTGGAAGCCCCCCTGGCCATGTGAGAGTGAGGTCCTTGCGAGGACCTCACAATCACATGGCCGGGATAGCTGGCTGCAGCATTGCCAGCAGGGGGGCTGCCTATAATGACAGGCGGTCCCCCTGCTGGCTGAAAATAAAAATAAAATAAAAAAAAGTTAAAAGTGTAAAAAAAAATAATATATACTTAGATCATATATATATATTATATATATATGATCCAAGTATATATATACATATACACATATACATACACACACATACACCGTATAGGTGTATTTTACTATTAATATATATATATATATATATATATATATATATAATTATATATTTATATATTAATATCAAATTACACATAGACTGATACTGATTAAATATATATATAATTATTGTTATATATATATTTATATATAATAAAAAAATTAAATATGTAAGTACGTTAAAAAATAAAATAAAGGGGGGCGTGTCCGACTGCCGAGAGGAACGGACGCATGGAGTGAGAGCTCCCGGTCCGAGACAGCAAAAGCGTGAATAGAAGCAGCTCTTACCCCCTGGCTGACGGCGAAAAACAGGAGAGGTATCACCCCTTCACCTCCCATGGCCCCGGCAAAACAAACAAAGCTGACGGACCCGATCCGCTACGGGAAAAAAGACCGGTTGCGGCCGGCGCAAGATGGCGGCGGTGAGGAGCTGGAACCCTCACAGGCCTCAAATTCTACCACAGAGTTTGAGGAGCAAGGATACACTGATGCCCCAGTCACAGAAAAAAAGCTGTATGCAATGCTAAAGGATTTTAGACTCATTCTGCAGTCTGATCTGAAGAAAGCCACAAATGATATTAAGAAAGAAATAACAGATCTGGGGGAAAGAACAAACAATTTAGAAACACGCACTGACGACATATGCGCAGCGCAAGACGCCCTGGCAGACACAGTACAACAATTAGTGAGTGAACAGCAGTTCCTAAAGAGGAAATTAGCGGACATGGAAGATCGCTCACGCAGAAATAATATCCGCTTCCGTGGCATACCAGAAAGCGTCACGAGAGAGCAACTGCCGCAATACCTTATCTCCCTGTGCAAGTCGCTGGCGCCGGAGATATCGGACCCAGAATGGCTCATGGACCGAGCTCATAGACTACCGAAACCGCGGAATCTGCATGTGCATAAAGATACACCGCGCGACGTGGTCGCTCGCTTCCACTATTATAAAACGAAAGACCATCTTCTGCAGGCGGCGAGGAAAATCACCGTGATGCCCACCCCGTATACAGATGTACAATTATACGCAGACCTGTCAGCTATGACAATGGGCAGACGCAGAGAATTCATCAACGTGACGAAGTCCCTGAGAAACAACGGCATACAATACAGATGGGGCTATCCAACAAAACTACTTATATGGAGGAATGCCAAAACGCATACCGTCAACGAACCGGAGGTGGGAATGCGCTTACTAAAAGAATGGGGCCTATTCCCGCTATCACCGAGAGACGCTTCGACTACAGCATCCCCGAGAGGACCGCAGGCTGAATGGAAGATGGCGGGCTCGCCACAAAGAAAAGAATAGGGCTCCAGTCGGGACCCAACAAGGACATACCACTACCCACTATAAAATTGGACACTGAGAGACACTAACTCTATGCTAGCCTCCGCTATATGATGTGCTAATGTAACTGGATTGTGAGTATGACATTCTGAACCTCTTAATGTAATACATATATGTGAGTCCCTATTGCCCAAGGAGTAAAGCACTACGTAGTGGGGTGACCAACCTTGTCAAACCCAGCGGGTGGGGAGTCAGGGCAGGTACAAAGGGACGGTAGGGACGCAACTCTACGGGTACTACAGCAAATGGGAGGTATAGGGTACAGCAATCACGACTTAGATAGTATATACTGCACAGGTTTTGTGACAGCATGGCATATACATGGTAGCGAGATGGAGGAGAGGATATTGGTTATGACAAAATGGTGGGCCCTGGTGGACATCTCAGACGTATTTGTGGGGTAGGAATAAGTATACCTAGAGAAAAGCTGTCACGCACTCGGCTGCACCACCCAGGTGCGTCCCCAGGATGAGACGTGAGACGGACAAAATCTGCCCGCTCACACCTCACCCACGTAGAGCGCTAGTTCTCCATATGGCGCTTTGTAAATACTTTAGTTATTTTTTTCTCCCTCCCTGTATTTGTGTCCACTGTCCCTACGTTTTCCCTTTCGGTCCCGGACCAGCAGCACACCGCATGTCGCAAGCAGCGAATGTCATCCCACGGCCCCAGCACAGTATAACACTACACCTGGATCATGGTTGACTCTTTGGCGATCCTCACCTTAAACGTTAAGGGTCTCAACAGCCCACACAAAAGGAGGCTAGCAGTACAGGAAATGACCAAGTCCAAGGCAGCGATTATAGGTCTCCAAGAGACAAACTTCTGCATTAGGAAACACCCCAAACTCACTGTCAAACAGTATCCCCAAGGATACCACGCCATGTCAGACACTAAAGCTAAAGGAGTTGCTATCTATTTCCATAGGGATTGGGCATTCACACCATCCAACCAATTTGCCAGTCGAGACAGGAGAATACTGATATTAGTGGGCTCCTTAAATGGTTTATCGGTGACTATAGCTTCCATATATGCGCCGAATGATAAGCAAAAAACCTTTCTCAGCACAGTGTTTAGGACAATTGACAAGCTCAGAGTGGGCCATACAATTATATGCGGGGACTTTAATTGCGTTCCAGATCCCGATGTCGATATAAAACGTGAGGGGAACAAATTACCACAACAACATTCAATCTCACTAGGCCAACACTTTAGGAAATTATTGCACGGGCATGACTTCTATGACACGTGGAGAGGCTTGCACCCGAGTGGGAGGGACTACACGTACTACTCGTCGGTCCATAGGACCTACACGAGAATTGACCTTTGTCTACTCGACACCAAAACATTGCCCTTCGCCATTAAGGCTCATATTGGGCCGATCACGTGGTCTGACCATGCCCCGTACATTGTCACTATGCGAATTCCGTACCCAGCTAGGGGTAGAGGCAAATGGCGCCTGAATGAAGGGCTATTAGACGTACCAGCACATCTTCAACGACTACAGGTCCGGGCTGCGGAATTTTTCGCTGACCACGTTGACTGCTCGTCATCCGACACCACAAAATGGCTGGCCCATAAGGCGGTCATGAGGGGAGAATTAATCCAGATAGGGGCTAGGACAAAGAGGCTGCACAACACAACACTGGACAAGGTAGAGAAAGACCTGGCCACAGTAGAATCCACCCATAAAACAAACCCCACTACGGCAACACATAAGCGACTGATGTCGCTTCGTACAACACTACATAGCCTAAACCTCGCTGTAACAGAACGACACTTGAGGTTTTTGAAGCAATCACACTATGTCATGGGTAACAAAGCTGGCAAAATGCTGGCCAACAAAGCGAAACAAACCAAACTGCAATCTAAAATCCCGTATATAACCTCCACAACTGGGGATAAATTATACAACCCCCAAGACATAGTGAACGAACTAGCGAAATACTATGCCTCATTATACCAATTAGAAAAAGATCCCTACACACACCAACCGACGGAAGACGAGATAGCACGTTTTCTGGATAGAGCGCCCCTAGCCAGCCTAACACAAGCACAACGAACCCAATTAGAGAACCCCTTCACGGAGGAGGAAGTAGAAACAGCAATCAAATCCCTTCCCAAACATAAGGCCCCAGGACCAGACGGGATATTCAACTACTACTACATAAAACTGACCAAACAACTACTCACGCCTCTCACCAACCTATTTAATCACATAAAAAATGCAGGGACTATGCCCACGGAAATGCTGGAGGCACATATAGTGACGCTACCCAAACCCAATAAACCCCCCACACACTGTGCAAACCTACGCCCGATCTCCCTTCTGAACGCAGACACCAAACTGTATGCCAAACTCCTCGCTTCTAGAATTAAACCAATCCTAGCTGACCTTGTCTCGGAGGAGCAAGCGGGCTTTGTCCAGGGACGTCAAGTAGGGGACAACACTAGACATTTCCTGAACCTGATTGACTGGGCGAACACCTCGCATCAAGCGGGACTCTTGCTAGCGCTGGACGCTGAGAAGGCGTTTGATCGCCTACACTGGAGGTATATGTTGCTCACCCTTACCAAAATGGGATTCCCACTAACCTTTAGATTAAGCATAATGGCACTGTATCAAAACCCTTCAGCAAAAGTTTTTAGTACGGGCTTTGTATCAAACAGGTTCGCCATAAGTAATGGCACCAGGCAAGGATGTCCCCTCCCCCCCCTAATATTTATCCTATGTCTGGAACCACTAATAAGGATAGTAAAAAATGATCCCAATATAAAGGGGCTGCACACCCAGGGGGGCGATAAGAAATTGGCTCTGTTTGCCGATGACATACTACTGTTTGTCACAAAACCGGAGACCTCCCTTCCCACTCTAATGAGAACGCTGGTAGACTATGGGGAGATATCGTACTATAAAAACAACTTAACCAAAACGCAAGCTCTACCCATAAACCTACCAAAACCTACGTTAGACAGGATAAAGCCACAACATCCCTTTGATTGGCGCACCAATTCCTTAAAATACTTAGGTGTAAACCTCACCAAATCCCTTCAAACGGTGACCAAAGAAAATCACTACCCCGTGCTAAAGAAAATCAAATCCTCCCTCGAACAGTGGGCTAACATGGATACCTCCAGGCTCGGACGCATCAACCTAATTAAAATGATGACACTGCCACACATCCTATACCTATTCAGAACCCTGCCCATATTCCTCCCGACTGCACTGCTCAAACAATTCCAAAGCACGATCAATGCTCACATATGGAAGAGGAAACCCCCGAGAGTGAATAAAGGGTGTCTGGGACTTCCTTATGTCCAAGGTGGACTGGGGATGCCGGACGTAACTGCGTATTATAGGGCCTCTTTCTTGGCACAGGGACTGCGACTCATTAGGAACCATACCCTTCCTCGTAAACCGCTTTGGCTGTCATTAGAAAATGAATGCCTAGAGGCACATGATACAGTCCATTACTTGTGGACATGTTCCTTGCCCCGAACATCTGCCGGCATAACCCTGAGATGCTCGATCACTATGCTTAAAGCATGGAAGACATGGCGCCGAAGGTGCTAGACCCGGTACGATTATTTAGGGAAGCACCCATCACGACACTAGCAGCCTACTCCCCAGGCATACAGGTGGGCAAATGGCTCAACAAGGGAGCGAGATTAGTGAGGGATCTAATGTCAGGAGACGCGGTGAAACCATTCCCTGAATTGAAAGAGGAACTGGGGTTAGACTCGAGAGATCTGTACCTTTATTTAAGGATCAAAAACATAATACTAACCCATGGTAAACAAACAGTCGCCCGAACTAACTCTCCGGTACTCCAACCAAGCCACTTATCACTGACAAAAGCAGTAAAACCACTCTCCCTATGTTACAATGCGTTGGTCACAGATAACACTCCAGATAAACTAAAATACATGGCAAAATGGGAGCAGGACCTGGGATTTCAAATCTCCCAAGCAGACTGGCAGTCTGCAAGGGCAAACACAAAACAGGCATCGAGTAGTCTCTCGCTATGGGAGGCCTACTGCAAGATAACTATGAGGTGGTATCTGGTACCACAGAGACTAGCAAGTATGTACTCAGGAGCTTCGAACTTGTGCTGGAGATGCGAGTCGGACACTGGAACCATGTTACATGTGTTCTGGAAATGCCCGCTGCTAGACGGATTCTGGAAACAAATCCAAACCCTGATCTCAAGTACGACTGGTACCTCCATCCCATTGCGACCGGACAAGTACTTATTACATGTTATACCAGACCTAGACACACACCCTCACAAAAAAGTGATTCTGAATATACTGACGGTAGCAAAAGTAGCCTTAGCTGGTAACTGGAAAAGCAAACAAGTTCCTCAGGTAGAGGTGATTATCAACAAAATGAATGTGATTAGCATATACGAGAAAATGGCTAGCAAGCTAAAAGGATGCCTAGGAAAGTATGATAAAGAATGGGTATGTTGGACGGCTACATAGTCACTGAATGACAATTAAGACAAGCCGACTGCTCGAACCAAACGGTTAACCCCCATAGCAGGCCAGTAAGGAAGCACACAGGCGCAAACATTAGGGGGCCAAAGGGGTCAGGGCGTTGAGGTGCCCAGGCGAATATATAGTCTCATCAACCTCACAAATTGCACAAGGAAGGTGTTCATAATGTACTGCAGGCTGTGGCGTGAAGCTGTGATCAGGGACTTTTCCCACCCCCCCCCCCTTTTTTCCTTCTGTACCCCATCCCCTCCCTAGTTATATTTAAAAAATGTACCGCATGCTTTGAAGCTGTATGCATCACACCGAACATCACCTGGCATACGGATTATTGTATATTCAATTGGTTATTGGATTAATTGAATGAGAAGTATGGCTGGATACAGGGCGAAATGTAGAACGTTATCCGCAAATGTTGTTGTAAAAGCGGACTGTAATTATGTACCATGTTATGTGTTGCAAATGTCATTCAATAAAAATGATAAATGAGAAAAAAATAAAATAAAAAAATAATTAAAAAATATATACATGTGTTAGTTCGTTCTAACTGTTTTGTGATATTAATATATATAAGGAACTTATTTTATTCAATGTTCATCTTCACATGTTATTCACTTAAGTAAGCACTTATACCCGGGTCTGCCCTCTTTTATATTTGCTGGCCGCGGTGATGCTTTGTTTACTAGCATCACCGTGGTAACGATCATCCCGGTCTGCTTTTCTTTGTTTAGTAAACCGCGGTGATGCTTTGTTTACCAGCATCACCGGGGCAACGATCAGGCCGCAATTATGTCAAGACGTCACGGCAGGGGGCGGAGTCAGTTTGCACATGCGCACTGAGCGTGTCAGAACGCCGATTGAATGGCGGTTTTCACCTGGGGTAAGCCAATTCTTTTAATAATTCTATGTATAAATATCTTGTTTGTTCAATATACTGTTTTCATCTTTTTGATCCTGAGGAAAGTCCCTAAAGGACTGAAACGTTGATCTTTGATGTTTTAACTTATTTTCAATAAATTTGGATTTTTTATTTACCGTGAGTGCAGCTACCTATTGGATGTATATATTTATATCAAAATACACGTAGAACGAAATAATATATATATCTATATACATAAATATATACGTATATATCACTATATATATACCTATATATAAATAAAAATATTAAAAAAAAATTATATATATACATATATATTCACATATGTATATATATATATATACATATATTAAATATATATGTAGAATTATGTAATAATTTTACATAATTGGGTATTTTAATTAATTACAATTAGCGGGACCTGCCTGACAACCCATGCCGAAAGTAAAGGGAATTTAATTTGCTAGCACTATATTTAACCCTATAACTTACACGGACGATATTATTCCTGCGATACTTTTTACTGTTTTGAAACACAAATATTTGTGTTCAGCGAAGTCTCCCGAGTACAACAGTACCCCTCATGTACAGGTTTTATGGTGTTTTCAAAAGTTACAGCATCAAATATAAGGCTTGTGTTTCATTTTTTTCACATTAAAATTCGCCAGATTGGGTAAGTTGCCTTTGAGACCCTATGGTAGCCCAATAATGAAAATTACCCCTATGATGGCATACCATTTGTAATAGTAGACAACCCAAGGTATTGCAAATGGGGTATGTCCAGTCTTTTTTAGTAGCCACTTAGTCACAAACACTGGCCAAAATTGGCGTTTTTTGCATTTTTCACACACAAACAAATACTAACGCTAACTTTGGCCAGTGTTTGTGACCAAATGGC